GTTGATGCTAATAGCAGCAGTGGTTGCTAAAAAATCTAAGGATTTCTGGTTGTTTATACTTTGCAGCAGTGACAACAGTGATAGAGGTTTCCTAATCAGGCCAAACTGCAGTTTGGTTTTAAATATTTTCATGGAATTAGCTTTGAGACTGTTTCTCCAGAATTCCTAACATTATTGTGAACTTCTTAATATCCTTTAATATAGTTTTCCTTTTCTTAAGTTAGTCAGAGTAGATATTGTCATTTGCATCCAAGAGCCCTGATTCGTATCTGATTCATACATTTCCTATCACTGTTGTCAGAACTGAATGATATAACTTACACATAAGAACCTAACACATAATAGTGTTTAACAAGCATTAATTTGAGTTCCTCGAACTCAAATTAAGCTGGATAATGGGTAAAGAGACAGCCAAACTAAATCATGTCGAAGCTTCTGAAATAGATCTGTGTTCATTAAAGATATATTCAGTTCCCTATGTCCAGGCACTGTCAAATCCTCACAAGCTTCTTAGAATCTTTTCAGTCTATAAAACTCAGCAAAGGTAATAAACTTTATGTGCAGGACTGGCTATATAATCTGTGGGGCCCAGTGCAAAATGAAAACACAGGACCTCTTTTTAATTAAAAAACTATTAAAAATGCCAAGATGTTAACAGCAGAGCCTTAAACCAAGCACCAGGCCCTTCTAGTGTGAGCCCTGGGTGGCTGTGCAGGTCACACATCCATGAAGCCAACATGGTGTCTACATGAAGCACTTCTGATCCTCTCTCTCATTTGCTGGAATTGAGACTACAGAGTGTAACAGGAACACCTAGGCTCCTCTCTCTATCGCCATTCCTCACTTCTGTTCAAAACAAGCAAACCATTATATTTATACACAGGAGTTGATCACATCAAAAGACCCTTTAAACCAGTGACACAAAATTGCACTGGTAATACAAAAACACATGTTCATGTTCAGGCTAAAGTATCAAAATATCAAAAGACAAAAAGGTCAAAGCCAACAGGGACCAGGGAGAATATCTAATACAAGCCCATTGTGTTACACTTGAGGAAACGGAGACTGAATGGGGATAACTGCCTGCCTAGAGATACACACTAGTTAGGAC